TACTACAAGTGAGGTAAAAAGCAGCCTCTGTAAACCATCAAGTACCGAAGCAATCTAAAGCTGTGTTTAGCACAGCAGTGCGTCTCAATTGAATTACCGCGCGCTATTAAAATACCCATACCTATTTTGAGACACGAATCATCGTTTGAAACCATAGAGTATATTTAATAAGAAAGTTCATTCAAAAATAATTAAAAACACGTTTAAACGTAGTATGTAATTAATAATCATAAACGTAATACCCTTAAATACTTTTCGTAACTCATTTGTCGAAATTCGATAAAAATAATCAATTGTGAAGTAGTGGCACGATTATTTTATAATCTGTATCTGTTTTATTCATTGACTCAAAAATTATCTGTGCTATTTTCTTACATCCTCATTTCCTTCCTCTGTGCCATTTCTTCCATTCCATATTTATGTACTCGATTTCTTGCGATGGATGGAGATGAGTAGTTTTAATTAACATTTGTAATCCTGTCCTCGCACTGTAATAAGTAATTCGTGGAGGATTATTTAATTGACACGATTTTTCGCAGTTTCTATCAGGAATCAAAGATCAGCACATAAATTGGCAGCGCAAAAGCAGTGACCTTATTTTAATTTCTTCATTACTGCAACGATTGTTACGGTTTATATTATCGATTTTAGACTTTTTGTGCCAGATATTGTTTTATGTCGTTTGATTTATTAGTGTGTGAAGGTACGGGCGTTGAAGAGACGATTTTTTTGTGCCGTAGTGATTTATAAGGTACGTATTAGATAATACAATACTGTAACGATAAATACTACGACCTCTTGGGTCTATGATAAAGTAAGATTTTTGTGTCTATAAATAGAGACCAGCTGTAGTTACTGCGCACCAGCGTACATCCATAATGTCTTTATTCATAAAGAACAATGAAAAATGCTTTCCAATGTCATACAATAGGGTAGTAGCATACTAAAACATTGATCATAACTTTGTATAAAACATTTCTTATCATAAACCGTTAAATATTTCCATTCAAAAATGAAACCAACACACTTTCTGACATGTAATGTGTTGTCAGATGTTTCCCCATTCTTTCTCAAAATGCCTATTTGTGTTGTAAACTTTAAAGGAAATGCAGTAATATCATTGTGTTTACCATTTTAAATACTCACAGCACATATAATTTATAGAAAAGATTTATTTGATACAAAATTTGTACAACATTGCTCTTAAGAACAAAACATCTATAAAGCTCACCTAATTCTTGATATATATTGAAATTTTCATAATAATTAGTGTACCCAACTAGATGACTTGTTAAAAGAGTAAGAACTACATCAACAGGTTTATTAAACTGCTATGATAAACTACCTTTTTATATCAAACTTAGAATATTGTAAAATAGCATTGAGCATACAATGATGCAATTCTAGTATTGAAGTGTTTGCAATCAACAAGTTATTTAAGATTAAAATAACTATCTATGGTACAATGAGCAATGAATTTGATTGGACTTAATTCCTATACTTTTAGACTTTATGGGTAACAAAGGAACTGATTAATAGACATTCCTGTGAAACTAATTCCCTCCTATTAGTTAAATAGTGCGTTTTTATTATTTATGCAGAGGGAGCCGTGTCTTGGGGAAAAAGCAGCCCGGGCACTACGGTGGCCCCAGAAACACCAGTGCCAGCGCCCCATCCACCAGGTTAGCATTTACTTGTATTTGATGTAATAATTACTAGATCTCTTAATGCCCTTTTAGAAATGGGTTGACTTGTTATAATAAATTATTATACAGAGCTTGGAAAATGAGTGTCATAAGTTTATAGTTGTTTAGGACCCAATCTTACTTCTTACTAATATTATAAATGTGAAAGTTTAGATGGATTGAGAGATGTTTGTTAGAGTTTGTAGCCTAAACCGCTTAACAGATTTCGAATGAAATTTGGTAAAGATGTAGTAGATAGTCTAGAAGAACATGTAGGCTACTCACTGTTGTTTTTTAATTCCACGCTAACAGAGTCATGTGATAAAGTTATTTTAATATTGACAACTTCTGTTCAGCCATATTGATAGCACAAGCTTTGTCTTCTAGAGTTTTCTAGAGTTATGCATTGTCACTCAATTCACATTGAACACCATTAGTCCTTTTAGTACATAACCCTGAAATAAGTTAAGCATTGTTTAATTAAACACATGTTTTAACTCTGAAAATGCTGATTGATATTATTTACATCAATGTTATTTGTTTCACCATAAAAATTATTCATAGTGTGGTAAGGTTGTTTCACCTAAAAGAATTTGTAACACTAAGATTTTTATGGTAAGATCCTTAGCCTTTTGTAGTTACATTTTAGTCTAACTGGCATTACATTCCATTGTTTCCAATACCTTGAATGGATAGACAAATCTATAAATGTTTCTGTTCCTAAAAATGTCTATAGAAACACCCTTCAGATGTTAAGAAATGTTTAGTCTGTATATACTTTGTCATAATGAAAGTCAGATTTGGACATTGTTATTTGAACCAAAAAATTATAACTGTTGTTTAGTTCAGTTAATCTTTCTTCTTATCTTATCTTACTTTTTACTAGTATTCTAAATGTCAAAGTTTTGATTAAGACAGATGTTTGGAGTTTATCCTTAAATGGATCTCGATGAAATTTAGTATAGTTTGGATAGTCTGGAGAAACATGTGTTCTTTCTCCATATATTTCACTGAACCTATTTAGGTTATTTATTTTGTAATTGTCATTTGGTTTCGTACAGAGTTGTGGGCAAAAGCTAGTATTTACTATACTTTTGTTTAAATTTACATAATGCATAACTGTGATAATATATAATTGTGAATTTAATATTGATGTAAATTATCATGTTTTTCATACTATAGTACTTTTTTATTCATATTTAGAAACTTGATGACAAAACATTATTTATAAAATATAATATTGGAATACCATGGCAATGAGCACACAGAGAACAATAATAATTGTTAGGTGCAGCAATTATAATATTTTATTAAAGTATTTAAAAATGATATCCCTTGGAATGCTCATTATATCACAGTTTTTTTTTAGTTTTGGGTATTACTGTTCTTAGTCCTGACTCTGATCACATATTCGAAATCAGTATGTTTACTCTCTTTATAACAATTATCTAAACAGCAGCCTCAAGGTTAGATATATCAAGACACATAGGATTTAAAGTAACACTTTGACACTACAAAGATCAATTCTATTGATCTCGAATACTGAAATGGAAAAGCTTGTATATTAAATATTTAAATGGATGTCTCATGCACTACCAGTTGAAACCGTGCAATTTGTCTGCTAGTTGTAACTGAAGGTGTGACGCGGGCTTTATTACAAGTTCAGTAGGGACTTCACAGTAAGGTTATCTTGTGTCTTGAGAGCAGTCACTGAGACGTAGTTTGTCTGTTATAAACAAAACACATTTGACTTCAATCATCAAAGAAATTACGTAGCGTGAAAATGACATGTCGACGCGAGAGGCCGTGCTCATTGTAAAGCAATTTAAAGCACCGTTAACCAATCAATTGTCGTTATTAATATTTGCAACGCAGTCGTTTTTTTTTTCTAACGTTTTTGTACTTTTATGTAATGTAATGGGCAATTCATAGATTTTATTTATGTACTAACATCTCGTGTTACGATTAACCGAACATGATGCTTTGCACTTGAAATTAAATCGTTTACTCGATTTAGCACTATTCGCGCGTTTCAAGGCGGGTAGCTAGTTGTCTTTGTTATTTGTTTTTATTGAAACCATTTGCTCGCTCTGTGACATTAGATTTTTTTATTATTTACACTTTTGACATTGTTGTGACTTTGGCCTTGCAATGCAAACCTGGTTTAACAAGTAATGAGAAAAAATGTCGGTTGATCTATAACAAAAAATAAAAAAAACTCAATTTTAAAACTCATCAATGTCATTGATGTGTTTAATTTATAATCAAAAGTTATTTGTAATTGTATAATTTTAATGACGTCATTATGTAGGTATCAACTTTCATTACGGACTTCACATAACTAATGTGTTACGTCATCACTATAATCACTCCGTTTGTGTACTCGCGATACATAAACAAGTCCTGTAAAAGGGCTTTTGATTAATAACATATAAAGTAACCTCAAAAATATACGATTTTTATATCAAAGATCATACAGTTTTAAAATATTGAAAATTAAATGTTTATTTATGGAAATTACAAATGTAGCTTTTTGATAAAAAGTACCTATCGTAAAAGTATACGGTCTGCATGAATTGTCGTAAAAAGGGGAAGAAAGTTTCCTCTTCACGTATATCTAAATAGAATCATAAAAGAACGAATAAGGAAGTTTAAAAGTATAGTTTATTTAAGTGTTTACTAGTGTTATTTTATTTTAATTTTTATATTGTTTGTTATAATAAAGGTGGGTGATGAGCGGCGCGCGTGTTGTTGCAGGGGTGCTGGAGATGACGGGCAGCGACAGCGTCCGCTTCAGCGGGCACACCCTCGACAAGGCCACCAAGGCCAAGGTCACCCTCGAGAACTTCTATACGAATCTCATCTCCCAGCACTATGAGAGGAAGCAGAGGTATGCATTCTAATGGTAACATTGGGCACCGAAAAACTCGCTAATCAAAGTGGCATTCTGTTTCGAATCGCCTCAGTTTGTCCTGTACAAAGAGAGTACGATGCTTTTTGTTTGTCGAATTTTATTGAATACTACCTTTCGCCCGCGACTACGTCCGGGAATTAAAAAACAAAAGTTAGTAGCCTATGTGTTATCCAGAGTATCTTCTTCATCTATACTAAATTTCAACGAAATCCGTTCAAGCTACTAACTTCAATAACCTAAACTTTCGCATTTATAATATTTGAAAGAATCAATTAAACATTGCATATCGATTTGTGTCGTCAGCACATTTTTATTGTACACGTTAATATATGTGTATCGTTTTGTATAGACTGGAAAAACTGGAAGAGTCTCTCAAAGATGAGAATCTCACAGAAAGTCAGAAGCAGGAGAAGCGGCAGCAGCACGCTCAGAAGGAGACGGAGTTCCTCAGACTGAAGCGGTCGCGTCTCGGCGTTGAGGACTTCGAGCCGCTCAAGGTTTGTCAGAATATCTCACATCACTGATGTATAATTAAAAAAAAGGTCACTGTTATAGCAAAATGTTTCAATATTCACAGGTAATAGGCCGCGGAGCGTTTGGTGAGGTGCGGCTCGTACAAAAGAAAGACACCGGCCACGTGTACGCTATGAAAATACTAAGGAAAGCTGATATGCTTGAGAAAGAACAGGTAACTTTTTTCATTGTCAATGATTTATGTACTTGGTTTTAAATAGATTGTAATTATTTCACGGCTCTATAGGGGTGTCAGATTGCCCTGTTCTAAATTCTATTGTTCTATTCTAATACAGTATGTTTACAAAGGTTACATAAAGTTTTTGAAAATTATAGATTCACAAAGAGTTTGAAAACTATAGAAACTTATTATAAAATTACAGGTTGCACATGTGCGAGCTGAACGCGACATCCTCGTTGAGGCTGACCATCAGTGGGTGGTGAAGATGTACTACAGCTTCCAAGACCCCATGAACCTATACCTCATCATGGAATTCCTCCCTGGTGGCGATATGATGACGCTGCTCATGAAGAAAGATACTCTAAGCGAGGATTGCGCACAGTTCTACGTGGCTGAGACCGCTCTCGCTATCGATAGTATACACAAGCTTGGCTTTATACACAGGTAAGTGTATATGTTTTAAAAAGGTCTGAATCGGTTCAAAATATCCGCTCATTTAGTTTTGAACCGTTGCGCTGTAGCTCATCAAATAAATTAGGAGTTCACGGCTCACCGAACTGTCCGGTGACTTGCAACCAATCGAAAATCATACCTATATTTAGATACAAATTGAGCTGACATTTGAGTCAGTTTACTGATCTGCCCCCTTAGACAAAGTAATTTATCGCTAATCGAAAGTTATGGCTAGTAGAATCGACAATGTCAAAATGTACAAGAATGAATATATGACAATCAAGTGATTTATCAAATGTAACAAATGTATGTTCCAATATAGTATTTATATGTTAGGTTTTGTGTGAATCTAGTGTCAGCAATTAGCAGAATAGGGAACTCGGGTACAGTGTTGCCAAGTAAGAATATTTCTCTGTTGTAGATCTCGTGTCTTTATAAAAATTTGGATGATGTTTTACTTTTGGACAGTTGAATATTATATTGTGTGTCATATTTAGGGATATAAAGCCAGACAACTTGTTACTGGATGCTCGTGGGCATATCAAACTGAGTGACTTCGGGTTGTGCACTGGTCTCAAGAAGAGCCACCGTACAGACTTTTACCGAGACCTGTCTCGCGCTACCCCCTCCGATTTCAGTGAGTATCTACCACAATGGATTTACAACACCCAATCAGGTCAGTATTAATATTATTGTATTCGACCATAAATGATATTTATAAGTCAATTATAATGCAAAAATTCCCCCTCGTTGTGGCACATTGTGACTAATATAAAACATTTCTAACATTTAAAGATTTGGTGAATTTATAGAACAGATCAAAGTTAACTTAAATAATTATTTATATTTATAATCCTCTCTTACTCGTATGTGTTTTGTTACATAACCAACTGTTTCTATTAATTCCATTAACATTAGCAATAAGTTAATGAATAAATTAACGCTTAACACAATGTCTGCTGAAATGCACCACTCTTAATGTAATCTCATAGCACAACTTAACCGTGGATTTTCATTGCCTATACTTGTAAAAAGATAGCATTTTCTGTCAATTTGATACAAGTATTAAACAGTAAAATTTGACGGTAACTTAGTATGTCCGATGTCGAACGTTACTATTGTTTCATTGCTTTGAACTGTTTGTATGTTTGTCTCCAGTATCGACGTCTTCATCCGCGATGGATTCAAAGCGTCGCGCGGAATCTTGGAAACGAAACCGACGTGCGCTCGCATACTCTACAGTCGGTACTCCGGATTATATCGCTCCTGAGGTCTTTTTGCAAACCGGCTATGGACCACAAGCTGACTGGTGGAGTCTCGGCGTTATCATGTAAGTATACCATTTTTTTCCATCACTTGCTAGCGAATACACTTACCCACCTTATTAACGATTGAACATATCTTGTTCCTTTTTTAAGTTTATATTTAACATTTGATTTAGGTTTTTATTAAACACTATCTGTTGCTCGCGATTTCGTCCTCGTAGAACTTTAAAAACATAGTGAAAAACACAGCCTATGTTACTCACTGATAACGTAGCTTTTTAATGGTGTAAGAATTTTTCGAATCGGACCAATAGTTTTTGAGTTATTTCAATACATAAAAAATCCAAAAATAAAAAATATTTTCTCTTTATAATATTAGTATAGATATCAATGTGGGACAATAATTTCCAATAAAGCACTATAATTAGTACATTTTTGATCACTGTAGTCTATTTTAAATATCCTTCCCTCTTTAACCCTTCCTCAACTCTTCTTCTAAACTCAACTTTCTTCCATTAGCTTGCTGTGTAAATTAATTCCATTTTATGCGAAGTTATACTTACAAATTAGTCTACTTAAACAGCTAGAGCGAGGACAGAGCTATTGCCCGTGACTCCATCTGCGAGGAATTTAAATAAAAATTTAATGCCTATTTCATGCAGAATAAGTTTTCTATGAATGATTAGCGAATTTAGTTTCAAGATTCAATTGCAATGCTTTTGTGGCGAAAATCATTACATTGTCCATTACTTGACTAGTTTAGTCAATAAAATGTGCTATTCCTTTTTCTAATGAATCTGTACCTTAACTGTTTGCGTATTGTAAAAAAAATAAGAATAAAAGGCGCATATTAAATTGAAGGTACATTTTAGTTATATATTCCTGTATACTTACATGGTACTTTAGATTTAATAAGATACCATTTATATGGGACATAATAAAATATTTAAATAAACATATTGCGTTTTTATGTGTTAACCCTTAATACAATAAGTAACTCTAATCAGTAACCTCAGGAAAAATCCGACTTCTTTTTTATTTTTTTTTTAAATCTACAAACAAACAATTATCTAAAAGAAACTTGTTTGATTAATGGGTTAAACTAACATTACTGCTGCGATATATTAGAAAGTTTAACTTGTTTCATGTAACTCTTTATTTATCCTTGTTTTTTGCCTTTATGTAATATATAATTATGCGATTAGGTACGAGATGTTGATCGGCTACCCGCC